AATAATGATTTGGTGGGATTTATTATGTTATGTATTTTATTATAATAAATATTTTGAAAATAAAAATTAAAATTATTTATTTATTTCAGTAAATTAATAATAAATTATGATTATAAAAATTTCAGTATTGAAAACAAAATCATAAATAATTAATTTTTTAATAAATTAACAGAACAAATTTAACAAAATTAACGCAAATTTCTCATTTCAAATACTTATCAAAATATTTAAGTAATTATTTAATACTTTACAAAAAAAAATATTATTTCGACAAATTATAATTATTACTAAATTAAATTTGTATTAAAATTATATAATATTTATTATTATTGTTTTTATAGTAGATTTAAAAACAATATTCTTTAAAATTACAATTTTCTTTTCGAATTTTTCGAACACTACGAATAACTCATAATTTTTAATTTTATATTCATCATTTTTATTTTGTTTAATTATAATTTTGTAATATAATATAATATAATTGTTATAATATATTATTTTTAATTTGAAGGTTGTATTTGTATTTTCTGTTTGTGTTTTATTTTTTATACTTTTATTATTTAAATATTTTTTATTTTAGTACATTATTTGTAATATTTAAGGAAAGATTAAAAGTTTTAGTAAATCAATATCGCCAATATTTTATGCATATGTAATTTACTGAAGAATTTTTTTCGGTATGGATTAAATTGAAACGAAAACATTTCAAAGTTATGGGCATTAATTTTAATTTTAATACCAAAATGCAAAAATCTAATGTGATCATAGCATATAACCGACCGCCAGTTAGTTTCAATACCAATCAGAACTCAAATATTAAATTTCAAGCAATTCTATCAATAAAATCGATAGATAGTTCTGTAGTTAAGTCAAATATTAAATTTAATGGAAATTTGTTAACCATTAAACATTTTTATACGGAAAAATATAAAATGAAGCCACAAGAAAGGTCTTCTTACCGAGGTCTAATATATCCCAAAAATTGACTAATTTGTGATATAGCCAAAATAAATTCACATATTAAATTTCATCAAAACCAGTTCAGCGCCGAATTCGAGATATAAGGGTGCAGAACCCACAGACTGGCAGGCAAACCGACAGACTGGCAGACTAACAGATCGACAAACCGACATTTCTCTAAAAATAGTTTATTTACGCTTCCCTACCATGGAGACGTGCACTTTCATCGAAAAATCGATATACAAAGTTTGGTGCCATCACATGACCTCCTTTATTGTATGCGGTCGGTTAAAAGGTTATGGATTCGAAAGTGCTTGCAATATATTTTTTTCGTTAAAACTTTTAAATTGAACTTACTAATTAATTTTTTATAAAATGAAGATTTTTGTAGGTGCCATCCATATAAAACTGTTAATCAATCCTAAAAAAAAAATTTTGTTTTGTCAGAAGTTTAATATTTTTCTTCATTTCTTCTTGTTTAATTTTAATTTATTTTTAATTATGATTTTCAATTTAAATTGTTTTTCTTTTTCTTTAATTAAATTTTGTTAATATTATAGTTTTTATTTTTGTCTTATAATCCTAAATTTTACAAATAGTTTTATTTGTTTTATAATATTATATATATGTGTATATATAATTTTTATGTATGTATATATTATATATATTTATGTACTATATTATATATATAAATTTAAATTCATATAAAAATTATTATCCCTTCGGGTTCATAACGTTCTTAAATATAATTATATTTGCTAATTAAATTAATACATGTATATTATGTGTATGTCTGTATGTATATATATGTATACTTAAAAATACATTTTTCTTGTAATTTTCCCTTTTTTCTTTTTGTTATTTTTTTTTTTTGTTTTTAATAATTGTAATACATAAATTTTTAATATATACATATGTATATAATAGTTATTTTATTAATTTTATTTTAGTTTCTTTGTTTCTAAAAATTTTTATGCCAAATTTAAGTTTCCCATTTATTTAATTTTTTTTATTTAATTTTTAAAAACAAAATTTTTAATTTTTTTTATTCATATACATACTTAATATTTATATGTATAATTAATATAAATAGCAATAATATTTATTATTATTATATATGTATATACAATTTTTTACACAAAATATTTATGAAATCTTCAATTTGTTTGCGATAAAAAAAAAGGAAATACATAAAATTAAAAAATTTGGCCCGTAATTAGCTTACATTTACTCCATATGTAACATTATTGTATACGTATTATGTAATTTAGTACAATTATTTAAAATATAAACTGTTATACTGTTATACTTTTATATTGTATACTGTTATACAAAATTTATTTTGTATTATATAGTATTTTTTCTTTCATATATAAAATAAATTGTATTATTTTATGTATTTTATTAGTTTAGCTCTTTGTTGTCTTTGTTTTTATACCCTGCACTTCGTGAAGGGTATATTAACTTTGGTATGGAGTTTGTAACTACTTGAAGGAGTCATCTGCGGTATGGACATATATATATATTCTTGCTCAGCGTAAAATTCTGAGTCGATTTAGACATGTCCGTCCGTCCGTCCGTCCGTCCGTCCGTCCGTCCGTCCGTCCGTCCGTCCGTCCGTCCGTCCGTCCGATCGCACGATAACTCAAAAACGAATAATGCAATCGACACCAAACTTTCACAAGTTTTTTCTTTTGTGCCAAGGACGAACCCTATTGTTATTGGATTAAGTCGGACAACGGGTTCGGGTAGCTGCCATACAACTCCAAGAGTTTATTTTAAATATTTCAAAAACTAATAAAGCTATAAATATAAAATTTTGTATAAATGTGTCCAATTATATTCTACACATGCTCTAAAAATTATAATGGGATAGCTGCACCGGTTCGGGTGGCTGCCATACAACTCCAACAGCAAATTTTTTATATTCGCCAAAATAATAAAGTCAGATTCATGAAACTTGGCAGTCATGTGTCCAATTATGGGTCAGACATATTTCTGAAGTTGTGGTTGAATTGCTTAACAGGTTCGAGTAGATCCCATACAAGTCTAAAAGCTTATTCTTAATATTTGGAAAAATAATAAAGTCAGATTCATGAAACTTGGCAGTTGTTTGTCCGATTATAGATCAGATATATTTGTGAAGTTTTGATGGAATTGCTTGATAGGTTTAGGTACTTACCATGCAACTCCAAAAGCTAATTTTAAATATTTTGAAAAATTATAAGGTCAGATTGATGAAACTTGGCAGTCGGATGTCCAATCATAGGTCAGACATGTCCGTGAAGTTTCTATAGAATGATCTCACAGGTTCGAGTAATTGCTACACAATAACGAAAGGTGCAGGGTATAATTCAATCGGTTTATACCGACTGAAACGTTTTTACTTGTTTTTTATTTTAAATGTTCATTTTATAAAATTTGTTTATAATTTTTTAATAATTAATTTTTTTTAAATTATTTTATGTTGTTTTGTAATTTAATACATTTTTCATTATTTTTGGGTTTTATTACATAAGAATTTATATTTTTCTTTTCTCTTTTTTTTTATTCCTCAATTTTTCAAACAAAAATTCTTAAAACTACTATATGTAATCAATATGTAATAATTTAATTATAATAATTTATAATTTATAAATATATTTTATAACAAATAAATATAACTGTAATATTTTTTCTTTTTTTACAAAATTATTATTAATTTTTTTGTTTTTTTTTTTTTTTTTTTTAATTTAATTTCCTTTTTGTATAATTTTATATTTAATAATAAATTTATTATAAAATAAAAATTTTTAAATGTTTGTTTTCCAAAACTAATTATGAAGAAATTGAGAGAAAAACTTTTTTGTATTTTAAATATGAAGAGCTTATAATTGTTTTAACATTTGGGAACATTTTGAAATCTTCTATTTTTTCAAAAAAAAAAAAAAAAACAGATTAAAAGAATTTCTGGGCTCAGACAGACATGCAATTTTTGGTTTTGCAACTGTTTGATTGCTTACTTGAAACTCTTTAGGTTTATATTTAAGCGGGCACACATGCAACTAAGTAATCAAGCATTTTGCAATTTTTAGTTATTGAAACATGGTTTAGATGCTTAGATGTACGCGCAACGATTTTAAAATCAAGCAGTAATTGCAAAACTAAAAATTGCATGTCTGCCTGTGCCTAAATTTTTATTTGGTAAAATTAACAATCCCAACGCTGAAAATATTTTCGAATATATTTTTTGATTAAAAATAAAAACGAGACTGTTTCCATCACAAGTCTAATAAATTTTAATGTTTTGTCGAATCTGCATTTGCTCATTCATCATTAAACAGCTTTGTAACAGACCCTAACTAAAAATTTAATTTATTCAATTAAATTATTCAATTTTAATATATTTTCTATAGCATTAGTGCAAAATTTTATTAACTTACAAAAAATTATTTCTTTGGCACTCTATTTCTCTATTAGTTCTTAATTAAATACCATAAACTCTCTCATATATTTAAGAATATCAAAAAAATTATTCTAACAGATTCAATTATTGTAGTTTGGAAAATTTATTTTATTCTCTTAATAAACTTGTAATTTTTAATGATAATAATAATATTACGTAATCATAATTAATAATTTTTTTTTTCTTTTTTTATTTAAATTTATTTTTAATTACATAAAATTTCTGGGTATAAAAAATAAATATTCTTTTATTATCTTTTTGATTCATTTCTCTTGTTTTTTATTTTTTCTTTTTGACTTTTATAGTTAACTACTCAAGTAACGGGAAATAAGGTAGTGTGGAAAATTAGTTGAAAAAATTCAAAATAAAAAATTTGTAGTATTTTTATAATAAAAATAGTGTGGAGATAAGAATTATTACTTTAATTTTTACTGTTTCTAATTTCATTATTATTAAAGTTTTATTAAATATAAAAAGGGATTACGAATAAGGTTCTAAATTAGAAAGAATTATAAAATGTAAATTGAATGCTTCAAAGTTTTGTTGTTATACTTTAAGATCAGTTCATAAAATATTATTAAGAAGAATTACCTATAACATAAGACGATCTGAAAAATTTATATAAAAGTTGGACTTTGTTAAGATGATCAAGACGATGATTAAGACCAAAAAATGTAGACTCAATCGATAGTTAAAGTTGTTTGTGATCAAACAAGTCAGATAATAAATTTTATTTTAATAATAAAAAACAAATGAAATTTTTAATTCTTTTAATAGCAAGTTATTTAGAATAATCGAAGTATTGAAGTGATATACAGCAAGATGAGGAACAAAGCAATGTTATGTACTTCCTGTTAATTTATTGCCCACAGTGATTAAATTTGTAAGTAATATAGCTTCAAATAGAGTACCCACCTTAGACCACATGCGAACTTATTCCTCGTGAATATTACTTAATTCTGCTATTTTAAAAATTTATTATTCAATAGAGCGCACACAAAACATTCATGGCATCTATTGACTAAGTATTAAGTTGTTCAAAAACATGAAGATAATTTTCATTGCCGGAGGATTTGTTGAATATAATTTGGAACATTTATGTGAACAAAACCTTATTTTGGAAATAAATTATTAAAACTTTGCGAGCACTTTCGAGATAAGTTTCTAATAGAACTATAGGGTTATTTGAATAATTTTTAAATAATACTTGTTTGTTATTTGTTAAAGCCATGAAAATGTTAATAGTAACACTTACACGAACATAATTAAACACAAGTCCAATTTTTATAAATTTGTTCTTAGAATCTTAAATTATTTAATTATTTTGAAATCAAAAATTCCTAATAATCATTATTCGTCTTACGTAATTTTTGCAACAACATTTTTAGAGCGCAATATTTTTCTATAAAGTTTAAAATTCTTTCTAATTTTAAGAATTTTTCTTTACACAGAAAATTCAAAGCATATAATTTTTTTTTTACATTATTTAATTAGGCTTTTTTTCACTGACTCATTTTTATTTTTGTATTAAATTATTTTTTCTCTAATTTGTTTTTTTTTTATTAATTAGTAGCATAGTTAAATTTTTGTTTTTGTGTGTTTGTTTTTGTTTTTTTTGTATGTTTTGTTTTCTATTAATACAATAATTATAAATAGTTAATTTAATAGTATATAAGTGGTTGTATATAATAATATATAATATATAAATAGTTTCTACAGAAAAACATCCATTGAAATACATAATAATATTATACATAGTTGAAGGATTAATTTAAATATAGAAGTTAAATTTATTCTAAAATTATTGCGATGTAGGCTATTTAAGCTATCGAACATCGTCGAAACCAAATTATTTGATGAACTACCGAATACAGGGAAATGAATTTCTTCGGGTTCACTTAATTCTTCTTCTTCATCGTCAATTGCATTTGACATCTGACGATAACGTAATGTAAAGTTAACTTTAAAAATAGCTTCAGCAACACCACCAGGAGATGATACAATAAAATAGAAAGTACGTTTAACTTTTTCATGCATAGCAATATAAGTAAGACGAGCTTCTTTACAGAATGGTGTTGGTAGATCCTAAATTTAAAAGAAAAATTTAGTGTTTTTAATGGTTTGCAGTTAGTTTAAATAAAATAACATTTTTGATGACGACGGCAAATTATTTTGAATTTCTCATATAACTATGATTTATTTTTTGAAACAATTTTTAAATTTTCATATGAATTGTATTTTATTTCAACTTACCGTTACACCATAAGCTAATACAGACTGTCCATATTGATTTCCAGGTGTATAAACACGATCATCATGTAACCAACGTGCAGCATGAGCTGGAGGATTTGCACAAAATTCAACTGATAAATGTAATGGTGAACCAGGATATGCAATTGGATTTGCATCTCTTGCAACAACTGTTGGATGACCTGTAAATATAAAGCAAATAAAAATTTAAATTATTTTATTCTTTAAATAATCTTATTCTTAATATTATTTTAGTATTTATTTAAATAAAAATTTTAATTAAATATGGCATTTGATTAAACGATGACAAGCTCTGTGGCTATTTAACAGAATATCTCCATATTTCATTTTATATTTATGTAAGAGCAAATGCAATAAAAATTGCCCCTTTAAAACACTTCAGGCACGATTATATATGTCTAACAGTTAATACAATTTAGTTTATTTTTAAACAATTCTGGTCGATATGAACGCATCCGAGCTACAGCCGAAAAATTACATTAATTTTCTCTATATCCAAACAATTTAATGAAAAAAACCTTCATTTAATGTTTATAAAATTGATTTTGTTTGATAGCATATTAACGCGAAAAGCTATGGAATGAACTAAAATGTGTAATTATTGCAACTATTTGTCCCCTAACACGATTTCCGAACACGATTCAATTTTTTTTTTCATTTATAAAACTAGAATTTGTTAGTCGGGAATTTTCTTTTATATAGTCGCAAATTTGTTAAATAATATTACGTTCTTTGTTCTATGGAATTATAACAAGATACAGAAAAAAAAAACGAACGCATCACCTTTTTATGTATACATTAATTTTATGAAAATTAAGTACTTTTACTACATCTCTTCATTATAAATTTTCACAATTTACAATAATATTATTATATATAACATTTATACATATATAAGTATTATAAACATAGTTGCATATTTATATGAATTACGTGTATAACACCTTTGCATTTTCAAATAGTATGTACATATATAATGCAAGGAAGTGAAGATAGTGTGTTTTCAGCAAATACGTGATTTGTATACTAAATTAAAAAAAATATTCTTTTACCATTTTCTCAACTTATATAATATATACTTCATTATTTAAAATTCTAAGACTCCTTTATTCCATATTTACATTGTTTTAAGGATTCTTCTTCATTATTATTTTATGGGTACTCGTATCTATGTGAATATATTCAAGAATATGAACACCTATAGATTATAAAATGAAAATATATGAATAAATGAAAGTGTATGGTACAATAATGATGGAGAAGGGAAGAAATGAAAATGAAATTCTATTTTGTATCCTGATTTCTTACTTATAAAATTTTTTCTTTTTTTTTGAGTATTAGGAAACAATATTGTTATAAAAGATGCAATTTTAGTTTTATGCACGAAAAAATTATTCAAAATAAATTGTATGCACAAAAGTGTTCTTATATAAAGTGCATGGATTTTTTTTTTAAAGTAAAGTGGATTTTTACATTACATTATAAAAGATTAAAGTTGGAATAAAAAAATATACAAAAGTTTTTGTCCATTACTAACAATTTGCGTTAAAAAGAGAGCATACAATGAATATATATGTATGTAGAATGGGTACATAAAAAAATTATCATAATACAATGTTTATTGCATCTTATATGCACCTTCAAATGGCAAATACTTGTAAGTAATTACAACTTACTAGTTAAGTTCGTTGTTGTTAAACTTGTTAGATGTTTTTAATTTTTATTCTGTAACTTGACCTATTTATTATTTTTCTTTAGCACACGGACGTAGATATGTATATGTATAGAGGATATATAACATGTAATTTCTATTGCGATGAACATTTTATCTTCTTTTTACCACTTTCCCAAAAAAATTTTGAAAAAAAGTGCTTATTAGTTTCACTCTATCCGTCCGCCCGTCCGTCCGACAGTTCTTTACAAAACTTCTACACCCTTGAAGATAGAAAGCTGAAATTTTGTACGTACATAGATCTTTACTAGAAACTTATTTCCAAAGAACAAATTTTTACCTATCTCCCCCCCCTCTAGAAGTTATACCCCCTAAAACCCTAGAAATGGCCTTTTTGAACAATTTGTTGCAATGAAATCATAAGCATTTTTGAAATTTTGCAAACGCATAAGGGCAGCGGCTTGCTTCCCCTAGCGCGGTAAACTATAGTTAAACTTTAGAAAAACAAAATGGCCGTTCAAATTTACCGTTATCTAAAGTCTTTTTTTTTTACAAATTTTTGATTTCGTTTTCTTCTAGACCCCAGCCTGTAGAAGCTTGAAATTTTAGGAGCTTTTAGACATTAACAAATAGTTTATTTCGTTGGAAGAAAATTTTTTTCCATCTCCACCCACTCTCAAGTTGTCGTCTCTTGAAATTTGTAAAATTTGAATTTTTGACACCTTATATTTCCGAAACCGTAAGCTTTTTCAAATTTCTATAAACACAAAAAGCTAACAGTAAATTCCATGACATTAAAAAATATAATTATTTTTCTTAACTCACACAATTAACCCTTAAAATCGAGCATTATGTTAACCCCTCTTCATATTAATTTTTGCTTTATTTCAAAGACTGCATGTATGCATCATCCGAAATATATGCAATCCTAGAAATAGCTTTGTATATCAATAGGTATACATATTGTAGGTATACATAGACTGTATTTAAAAGCAGAATTTTCACTTGTTGAAGGGAAAAGTGCTACAATACAAACCATTGGTTTGACCCAACTTTATTTAAGAAATAATTTTTAATAGTAATTTAATGTAGTTTAATGTTGTATTTTAAATTGTATGTTTCAGAACACAACCGCAATTATTCATTTCAATCATAAGGAAATTTATAAGTTTTTGGTGCTCACCTATACTTTTTTTTTTAGGTGGAATTTGAATTGCATTGTAATTTTTAGATAATCACATACTTTTGATGCCAATTTTCAATTCTAACTCGCACAGTAACACAAATTTAGATCATGATTGTATTAAAATTTTAAATTTTTTCTCTATTGTTAAAAATGCAATATTGATTTTGTAAGTATTCAAGGTAGCTTCATTATATTGCAACCACGTCATATTCATACTGTCCCTAAATATTGTCTCTAAACAAATATTTCGAGTGATTTTTCAGTTTCAAAAATTAATTGTAGTTCTAATAAAATGCATTCTAATCACATCGTTTATTATATTTTATTTTTTAAGTACAACATTATCATAAAAGCAACTCCTATATTATAAAAGCTACTGTTGAAGTAAAAATCAAATGAATATTATATTTTTACATTAATATTAGCGCATTATTGCATTATATTAGTACAACTGTACTTATTTACGTTCCTATATTATATTTACGTGTTTTCATTTTAATAAGCAAGTAATTATGTAATTCGTTCTTTCAACAAATTATTTAAGATTATATACCCTGAATGATTGAGGGCGAATGTACGAGTATTCCCGCACATATTATATATATATAAGTCTCTTAATATATAGATTTATTTACATATAATATGTATGTATGTGAAGAAAACCTCCATTATAAATAAATTCTTTTCAGGATAATCAAGTATTACAATAACAAAAAAAAAGTGTATTGTATATGCAATATAGATAATAATTTCAGCCTTGATTTCGTGATATCTCTCTTTATATTCATGGATATACATATAATTTTACAATATTGTATGTAGCACACACATGTGCATATGTAGGTATTATTTACATTTATGAGATTCTCATTTTTATTTTCATTTTTTTCATTTTTCTTATTTTGTTTCCTTCATATTGGACTTATACTATATCTATTAAATTTTATATTATATATAAGAATATTCCCTTAGGATATATTTTTAAATATGAAGAGGAAATAAAAATTATTTGACTTTCTTTTTGATAATTTTTTTCTCGTTCGCCTGCTTCCTATATAAAAATACTTTCAATTTATATTATTTGACGCTTTATTTTTAAGGAGATTCTTTCAGTTAGAACAAAACTTAAAACAAAAATAATAATAATTATAAGAAAAAAACAAAAAAATCAGGAGAAAAATAAAAAAAAAATCAGGAGCTAACTGCCACCACCTTTATCATTATTCCTCTAGATTTTTATATACCTTTGAAGAAATAAATACAAAAAAAAAGCATAAAAACAACAAAAAGAGACCACATAACACGCTGTCAATATAAATAAATAGATAAAGTAAATTTTTTATCCTTATAACCAAATCTACACCCAAAAATATTCTAGCCTCCAAAATTATATACACAAATTTACGCATATACATATACGAGTATTTACGTTAACAAAAATAGCTTCACATAGGTATGACGTTTTTTTTTTTGTTAAAAATTTGTTATCATGAAAATTAAAACAGTAATAAGAAAAATAATATGAAAAAAAAAAGATCTCCCCTAAAAGTATATAAAATCTAAATTTTTCTTTTTTGCTGCCTTTTATTTTTCATTTTAATTTCTTTCCATTTTGCTTTACTTATATGTTCCAATGTTCCGTCGTCCGCCATAATTGTGAAAATCTAATTATTCGTCTCATCAAATGAAAAGCTTCTTTTCATTTTCCCCAATGGGATTATTAGAACCAACACAAAAATAATAATAAAGCCAAAACAAAAATACAAAAACAAAAACAGAACAAAAAAATCAAAACATCAAAATAGTACAAACATCCTTTTCTGTATAACAATTTTTATCTTCCCTTTTTTTATTTTTGGCCTTTGTTTTAAATATTCTCTCTCAATACACGTAAAATCCGACTTTTCCGCATTAAAAAGCAAAAAAGAAAAAATAACAAACCCTTAGATAAAAAAAACCTATGTGTATAATGTGTTTGTAGATATGTGTACATTTGTTATATTATTTTTTATGTGGAAAAAATGGAAAAATAGAAAACGTTTAAAATTTGGTTCTATGTGTAATATTTTATGAATTTACATGAATACATAAATGAGTAGTTATATACATCGATAATGTTCTGCATATTTGTAATATTTTGGTAAAAAAAAATTTGTTTTTTTTTTTGGGTAAAATATTCGCCAAAAAATTCTTAATTACACATTTGCTGTTGTGCAAGAATGTCTGAATACATAAGTGCCGATTTATATTACAAATTCTAAATATATCTTTAAAGTCTAGTCTAGTTTCTTTTTTTTTTTTGA